TTTAATATTATAAATATTTATATTTAATATTATAAATATTTTTATATTCATAAAAAAAAATTTTGTAAAAATTTTGTTATTAAATATTAAGTAAATATAATAACAAATTTTCTGAAAAAACTAGAAATATCTATAAAAAAAACTGATATTAGAAAGAATTAGAAAAAGTATATATTAGAATATTTTTGTTACGCAAATTTATTCTAAACAAATGAAATGAAATTATTATGTAACTTGTATTCTATAAGAGATAGATAACAATTTCTAGATTAAAAATTATTTTTTTTAATTAGGATTATTATTAAAAAATTTTTTAATTATTCGTATAATTAAAAAAAAGTTGATTAATTGAAAAAGTTATAAACAAAAATATTAATAATTTTTAAAATTTATTTTTTTATTTGAAATTTTAATTAATGACTTATATAATTATATAAATACTGAAAAAAACAAATACTTTTTTGAAATACAAATATAAGCTTTGTTGTTGCAATTGTTAAATTGCATTCTTTAATCAAACTATTTCTGCATTTCATTGTACATATTATACATATAATGCACATATATCAAACTATTATTTCTGTCATATTATGGAAATTTTTTATTATATATATATACATATAATTTTCGTATATGGAAAAATTTTGTACAAAAATTTCTATAATAGTTTAATTACATTGTTGATTTACATGCACAGAAATATCATTGAATTAGTCTTTTATTCATAATTAATTTTCATTATCAAAGTATTACGATGTTTTTATGTATGATAAAATGAATATAATAAATGATAAGAAACCAAATAAATTTGAAAACATAGTAAATGTTTTCTTTTCATAATAAGATTTATTATACATTTATTTTATTATTCCATATGTAATACTGATAATCATATTATTATATGATTATCTCTTCATAATATAATAAATTTCTATTAAAATATTATTTTGAAGAATTTAACATCTATATGAAAAAAAAATTTATAATATTCACATTATGTATACATTTTCAAACTTATCTATATTTGATTTATTTATTATTTTATCTATTTCGTGAAAAAATAAAAGTTCTATAACTATAAATATATTTCTAATAAAGATTTTTTATATCTAAATAGTTTTCTGTTTTTTCTTTATTTTCATTTGTCATTTACGTTTACTTATCAATATAATGAGAGATAAAAGTATAAAAGTTTATTTTCACAATTGTTAAATAAACATTGTTCATTAAGTATGAGATTTAAAAATTTCTTCGATTGTTGAGAAACATAAGAATATGAAGTTTGTCTTTGTCTTAAAAAAAAAGATTTGTTTTTCTATGGTGTTTTATAGTTATACAAATCATATTAAGATTTCATTCGAAAAAATTTAAGAAAAATTATTAATATTTTTGTATATAATTTTTTTCTAATTATATAGATGATTGACAAATTTTTTACTAAATTATAATCATAATTAAAAGAAATAATTTTTATTTGAAAACTTTTTTCTATTTTTTTACTGTTCATGAATTATAAAAATTGGAACACAAAGTTAAACATAAAATTGGAAAATAATCGGATTTTCAGGGATCAATTTTATGTTCTTA